TGTCACAATCTTCGTTAAGCAAGCATTATAATTATTGTAAACTAACGATTTCCACGAGGACTATTTAATTAAAATTTGAAAGCTATATTCCAAGTCGTTTAGTACATCTTGAACGGCCGTTCTTTTATATTATATTATATTATATTAGAATAAAACTCTCCTTATATGTAATTATATGTTCCAAGTTATTATATATTTCCTTCTCAAATTCTGTTGATTTAATTCAAAAAGTTTTATTCTTTAAAAGCTTGAAACGTAACAAAAGTTGCGTATAAACTTTATTGCTGGAAAGTAAATTGACAGCTGCTCGTGAGCTAAAATCGAGCAGAAAATCACAATTAACGCAAAAAGTCAGTGACATTCCAGTCAAAACCCTTTCGGTAAGAAAACATTTCTACAAGTGTTAGAAACATTTTGTAAAAAAAATCTTAATATAATAAAGCTTTCAGAACATTGTTGGTTATAATTTTATAATACAATGCATAGTTATAGTGTTGCGGTAATGAATCAGATTAGTAAATCAATGTGATCAAATCTTCCTCCACAGTCGCATAATTATAGTATACTAGTACTAGTACGTGACGATTTTCTGTCACCGTCACGCGTGACAAAACCACATAATTATCGATTTTTTAGTCACAAAGTAAACGTTATAATTAAGTTGGAGTAGTATTATTTGTTCTTAGAAGAATTATACAACTATTCCATTAATTTCCGTGAAGAATTTTCCGTCACGGTAAAGATATATAAAAAGTCCAAATTCCGTCATCAAAATGACATATTTTGAAACGTTTGACATGTTTAATATGTTTAGTTGTTGAAATATTGGACAGATCTTTATTCATAAATATCAAACAAACAACTTTGAAATCGAATTACTTTCTTTCTTTCTTTTATTATTAAAATGTTAATTAACCGGATAAACCTATAAAACGGTCACGTAAAAGATACAAGCTTTCGGCATATAAGCCGAACGATATAAACATTTGTCGGTGGACTCTTAAATTATTGCCTTCATTATGCACATACCATATACAATAGTTATTATGTTCCAAGCCAAAGTTTTGTCATTGTACAATGAAATTTTATTTTGCCGCTCTCAAAAGTGAGAGCAAAACCTCTCAAATGCGATGCTTCTAGACAGAGCTCAATTCTCTATTTTTAAACTCATATGCAACATAAATACAACAATAATTTGATATCGTTTTTAGTTTAAACAGGTTTTGGCTTTGATTTAATGTTTCGACCTCTCGTTAGCTTACGCAATGAGTCTAGATTGTGTGTGCGCGCATAATTCTATATCAACATCTTTGACGTTTTCGTTTTACTCGATATGTTAAATCGTATCAAATCGTGGATTCTTAAAAAAAAAAGTTGATTTATTTTTATTGCGGCAGACTACGATAACCAGACTACGCTATGTCATACGATTTATTAAATATTATGTCGTGTACCCTTTAATTTACTTTTTTTACGAGGGCAGCTTATCTGATACTCATTTAAAAATATCTGGATATTCAAATATAGCAGATTGATTATGACTCATAAGTTATCACTGCAATCTTATGTATCATCAACAAAGAAATCCTATATTTAATGCATTGATTGGATGAAAATGCGCAGGTAAATATAGGTATGCATTTGCGTTACAATTAAAATATGTGTACAGGTCATGCTGATGTTACGAGACTAAGCCTAAAACAAACAACACAGGATAAGATTTAGATCCTTTTCCAAAGTAAGAATGTGAAACATAGATTGAGATTCTCTATAAAGCAGATGCCGTTAGTTCATCACCCTCACCATACAAACACACATAATTCCTACAAATGTAAAACTAATTTAAAAAATGTAAAATGTAAATGGCTTTTGGATTCTCGACATCTTTTATTCGGCACATATGCCTTTTGGATTTTCGAGGTCTTTATCCGGCGGATACGGCCTTTGGATTTTCGAGGTCTTTATCCGCCGCCGCAATACGACCTCTTTTACCTGCCTATTATCATTATCATAAACACACATAATTATACAAATTCTTCGTTACATACCCGACCCATTTGCACTAAAGAAGAATTACTAGCATACGATACTATGCTGGACATAAACGGGGATGCGAAACGCATCCATAATATTTTTAAGAGAATGCAGGAGGAGGCGCAAAAACACTTGTCAAAATCCTCCTCCTACCCTCCAAACAACGCCTATACGGGCTCGCGGCCGATATTTTTAGAAAGAAGATTCAAGAAATTGCATCCCACAAAACCACGAAAACACCAACCCGACCGTTACAAGCCATACAGAACGAACGGTAAAACGGGCCGGGGGGGGGGGTGCCACAACCGTTACAAGCCATACAGAACGAACGGTAAAACGGCCGGGGGGGGCGCCACACAACCGTACAAGCCATACAGAACGAACGGTAAAACGGGCCCTGGGGGGGCACACACAACGTCAACCCAACAAATGTAAATACCAATCGGTGGTTACCGCTCTCCAACTTTGGTACTCATCTGCCAGAACACAACCCAGCACTCCGCGGTGGATGGCCAGACAAATGTCTACTTACTCCGACCCCTAGGAATATCAGGGGAGACACTCCGTCTTGTAAATAGGTTTATAGATATATTTTTAAGATTCTACGAATATGTATTTTTATATTTATTTATTTATAAATAAACAAAATTTATTTAAACCGAAATAGTCTCGACAAGATTGGTGCGAACTTTACAGATGATGATAAAGACCAGCTGATCGATTACACTCGAGTTCTTGCTCAGTGACAGCCATTGCGCCAATTCTTTTCAATCTTCCTCTCAGATTCAGTCAACTTTTATGTTCTGACCCATGATCGAAACAATAAGCAACTTTCAACGGCAATCACAGGTTTTCAGCTGTTTTACACTTTGCCTGCAGTGATGTCAGACTGGATCAAATTTGTCAAAGCAATTTCTGATAACAAATTCATGAGCAACATTAATTTCAGTATACTGTAGCATATTATTACTAATCGAAAATCCCGTCACGGGCACATGATTATCGTTTCGTGACGATTTTTCGGTCACGGCGTGAACGCTATAACTGGAGTAGTATTCGTTCTTAAAAAAATCTTACGATTATTCCATTAATTTTCGTGACGAAATTTCCGTCACGGTAAAGATTTATAAGAAGTCCGAACCCCCCTCGTCGAAATGGTATGTCTGAAATGTTTGCATGTTTATTGTTGAAATATTGGATAGATCTTTGTTCAATGAATATTATAATAAAATAAACAACTTTTGAAATCAAATTTCTTTCTTTCATCGTTAGAATATTAACTAACCGGATATACCTACAACATAAAAGCTGTAAGATTTCGGCATAAACGACTCGTTTAAGCTGTTGGTTAATTACGCGAATAGCGAGTGAGTCTGTATAGACTATAATTATACCACTTAATTCGGACTATAACCATACCTATAATAGTTGGACTATAACTACCCCGAAAATGACGAGAGAAAAATGAATCACGCCACACGTTTCGGGGTAGTTATAATAGCAATTCTTTATAATAAATTGGACTGATAAAACACGCTCGACTGCTCACCAGCACGACTAAATAACCCCATTACATTATTACGACAACTGTTCGTCTTCCCCTCCGTCTTACTCTTTGTCTTCTCTTGTAAGAGTGATTCACGAATTTTGGTTAATGCTGTCAAAACTAAACGCCTTCCTCCTGGTTCAGCGAGATCGAAACCAGTCTTTAAGCCATTCTTGGTCGGCCATCTATTAACCTTAACTTTCTGTTGTCGCGGTAGGCCGTTTTCAAGTTCCATCCGAATACGTTGTGGGAATCACAGTTTTATAAAACGTAAAATATGAAGAGATGACGCGAATGGCCCATAATATCTGATCTGTATGTTCCATCTCGCCACAGGAACGTATATTCTCATTACTACAAGCGAGAATTTCTACAGCAATCTGCGTTTCTCCAAATCCAGTGCCTAACCAGACATTTTCCAGGTGTTCGTCCTATTAAAAAATTGGTTGAGCCGATGAAAATCAAACGGTTAACAATATACGAATACAAACATCCACCACAAGAATCTGCATATTTCGTTTCCCTATTACAAATTTGGGTTCTGATGACACGCAAGCATCATCTTCAATGTATAGCTTGCATAGCGGACGATTTCTGAATTTTGAAAATGCAACTTTAGAAACATTGTATTTATTATAAACAGAAGTTACTCACCTGATCATTAAGGGCCAATCATCCAACTTGAAGCAGATTATCCACAAGTGTAACAGTAAAAGTTTCGTTGGTGGTATAACTTGAAGACCATGCATCACGACGTCATGCAATTTCGCAAAGAATGTTTAAACGTCTGGATCCGTAAGCCCTTCAATATTTTCAACATCGAAATCGTGGATCTCTACTGATATCAGGGCAAACATACTTATCCGGAAAGTTGGTGACTGGAACAATATTTAAATTATAAGCATTATTCGTTTAGAAAATACGCAGTTCGCACCTTCAGCTGGAGGAATGATAACGTCCTCGTTTGAAGCCGGTGCGAAGCCCATTCTCAGTAGATCAATATCTCCTATTGTAGACTTAGATGCGGAGGGAGGGAGGTTGTAGGTAGATGAGAGGGTTGTAGGCTCAGCGTTTTTGTTTCTTAGGGAAAGAGTCTTGGTCGGAGAGTACGTACGGCAGGGCACCTCGCAAGGAGATTGAGCAAAGAAGACATTTTATAACTTCATTAAAACGAGGAAAATACGCCTGGGTTATAAAGAGAGAGAGTCCCGATTAACGTGATTTACAGTTTGTGCACCCGTGCATTTTAATGGTTTCATCTGCGGGATTACGGTTGAAATTTCCGGATAGTCGCATCTCCAAGACGTTCTCCCAGCTCCCTTACTTCTTCTGAAATTTTGGAATACATTGATGACTCGGTTCGTTTCTCTAGTCGACGGTTTTCTTTGAATAAGCGATCGAAATCTTGCCAGAGAGTTTGAATATCGCCGGTGTAATCCCGCCTTCTCGCAATTTTTGCTCGAGTTTCGCCGTAATTTTTTGATTGCAGACAATTCCGCAATTATACGGTTTTCCACTCTTTGGGTATTTAGGTATGATACTAGCGATTGGACTAGCATGAACACGACGAAAGAATCTGAATTGTTTGAGAACATTTTTTGCGTATTATGTTTTGGGTAATTTCACAGTTTGATCTTGCAGAACAAGAAATATGCAATTGTTGTAATACAATTTGCGTGCATTTTGCGTTGTATTGTAAATTGTTCTAAGGACGAACTTGCGGATATCGTTTACGAAATTGACGCGTTTTATAGAGTTCATGGTGGCACTTGAGCTACGAATGAAGTGAAAGCGAGGATGAATTAATATCTCGCTCATTTCTTTGTGTATAACTCCTAGAAAGCCAATTCGTCTCTTCATTGTGAATTTGCGCGCAAAACAAAATTTGTGTTGGGAGATGCTTCAAAGATGAATTAGCTAGATTGCGTGCCCCGTATTAAATGAATTAAGGTCAGGGTGTGGTTCGAACATTCATGCGGTGGATGATTATTATACTGGTAATGAAATACACAAACACGATTGACATTTCCGGATCTGCATTTTGCATGCTGTCTGGTTTTGGACGACGCTTTATAATAAACGTAGACCGACATCAAATTATATTAATAAAACAGTTGGCAGATAATAAATATAAATTAGGATTGAGGGTAGCAAGATCAATTTAATGTTTAAATAGCACTCACTCACTAATTGATTTAGGGTAGAGTTCTCAGCACAATTGACACCTCTATGACTAATTTTACAAATACATCACAGGTCAACCAACAAATCGAGCTCTCACCTGTAAACAAAGAGACTAATTCACTCTCAAATACTGCAAAATATACAATTTGGATCCGTCTTTCTATTATTCTGTACATAAGCAGACTCGTCAGTCGCCTTCTCAGCAATTACCTGTTTGCCTTCTGAGACGGCCAAGTCCAAGACTAGTATCTGGAATCTATTTTCATTGTAACTTCTTGTGGTTCTAAGTGGTTAAAAAGCCAGCCAATTGGGTAAACCAGACCATTGTTCGTGAGGCAAGCTTTTAAAAAATTCTGCCATATCGATATTAGAATTTCTCAGAAAGAGTCGATTGTAATGGACCTAATACTAAAGAAAAAGAAAATTCGGCGCATTAAATTTTATATTTTACACCCGGAACTTGGCCCAAGGCTAGCCTTTAAATATAGGGTATAGCCGGGAGATCTTGTCACAAGAGACTGTAAACACGCAAAATTACAAATATATTATTTGGACGCAAGCACATACTGTATTATATAATAAAACCTGACTATTAAATATTTCGATGCAGCTCTGCAATTTAACATCATAATCACTTAAAGAAATTAAATTATAGATGGCTAAATACTTCGACTTCTTACCTAAACAAGATGGCTAATACTTCGGCTTCTTACCTAAACAAATATCCAAAACAATAGCTCCGAGCGTCGGGAAGAGGAGAAGCAGGGGAATGGAAATTTTGAGTATAAAATAGGGCGGACGTATTAATGGGCGTTTGAATTGGAAAATAAGTCTCATCAAAATCCGGGTAAGACGGTATTATATCCGCTCATATTATTCAGTCTACTCATCGTATCAATGTTATTAAAAAAACCAATCGTTGTTTTTACCGGGAACAAGTGTCGATCCACGAATGGCGACAATAGATGGGTGTTTGAATATTTATAATTAAATGCTCGAGTTTTCATCGTCATAATATTTCTGGAATTCTTCGAAGCGTACCCAAAGCTCTTCTTCCTCATTTGCGAGCATACGTTCAACTTCATCGGATGACGTATCTTCCGTTAATAAATTTAGAAAGAAAATTATAACGCGCGGAGTAAATGAAATCTATTACGCTGACCATGTAGTTAAAGAACTAGAACACTAACCTCTTGAGATTTCTTGTAGAAACTCTTCTTCCAATAAAGCTGCCATATCAATGTCGACATCTCCAACAGACGACGCGTAATCTTTCTCATAAGCAGCTTGAAATACTTCAGTATTACATCACGAAGCCACTGATTAAAAATTAAATACGAACGCAAATTAGTTTATTATTAATAGTTACATTCAACTATGATATGTTGCCCTCAGATATCCGTCTGGCTTTTCTTGCCCTCGTCCTCTCATTTACAATTAGTACCGACCTCATTTTCACTCTCATCTGTCATGATAAATCCACCCCTCTTTGCGTTAAAAGCCTTCATTCTGGATTCTTTTATTCTATCCATGCACTGCTGCTTGAACTTGTCCTTCCATAACTGTTTTGTTGCTTTCTTTATATTGGTTCGACGTATACTCATGTCTCGTTGAATAGTTAAAAAGTAAACATTGTCCCACCATCCTTTTGGGAACAGGATTGTGAGGCAAGCCGACCAATTACGATACTCTGTACGTCGTTCGACGTTACAAGAACAGGTTTGAATGCAGTCTTCCTCTACCGAGCAGTTCAGAAGCTTGAACCGATGGAAGGATATACCATCACAATATTTGCATAAGCAACGAATGGGCCTCTTCCTCTTCCCTATACTGTTCAACTTCTTGCCACTACCACATTATTATCTCTTGCATTATAATAAAGAAAACCCATCGTTTTTGGCATTCAACATCACGCGTTACAAATTATGTTTAACATGTAATAGTAAATCTTATTTCTTATGTTATGGTCTAAATATGTTCGAGGTAAAGTTATCAGTGACCGATGCGATTTGTGATGCAGGCTGAAATAACTAGTCGATAGAGCCATATCTGATTGCAATTCTCTGTACGGTAAAGATTATCTAACCACACTCACTGCACTAAGACAAGAAAGCAAAATGAGATACTCACATAACTCACTTTACGTACACGTTTCCTATACTCGAGCCGCCGTTTCATGATCCACGTCTCCAACGATCTTGCTCATAAGCAGTTTTCAAGGCCTGCAAGTCATTTTGCAAAGTACCCAAGAGTCAATTTGAATAGCACCTTAAAAACGTCTGAGGTTTTCCCAGGACTATGATTCGTTCCAGGGAGGCAGAGGTGGTATTTAGAGTATAGTTTATAACAGCACCAGTGATTCACAATACCTGATCTTATAAAAGTTCTTCTATCACTTCTTTCAACCAGCTGGGCTGACAGCTCTTGTTAACAAGAGCGGTTAAATCTTATGACTGTTAAAAATCTTATATGTACGTGCATAAAAATGATGACTGTTAAAATCTTATATGTACGTGCATAAACATTACTCCCCAGTAAAAATAAATTGAACGAACATGCTTTTTTTTTTATTTTTTGGTGGGTGATGCGAAGACAATTGAATTGTCTATATTTGATCTACGCCTAAACTTTGTGTTTGTTTTATATAAACGCTCCATATGGGCATGCAATTTCAGGACGCGATTCTGAATAATATAATTACGTTAATATTAAGATTATTTGAAATGCTAATCAAACAAATAAAAAATTTTTTTACCTTGAATTCGATCATTGCTTGAATTATTACGGGTAGATAATCTAGTTCCCGCGAAGTATCAGGAATCGCAAATCCGTTGAATTGATCAACGAGATATATCCCGTCCACCCAATGCATCGAATACATAAAAAATTCTTTCTCTATATCAAAATTGTATTAAGAATACAATAGAATAAGCGGGAGAAAAGAGAGATGGAAAAACTCGACATTCTAAAAACTAGACGCAATTACATACTATACACGAGTAGACCATAAGTTTCCAAATCCTCGAGACCTTCAGGAAACAACCTTCGCAAGTTAAAAAGTGCCAATTGCATTGCTACAGATAAAGAACTTGAGTTAGTAATTTAACAAATAATCAAAGTTATTTTAAATTATTTTTACCTTTAAGCATTTTTTCTTTATCATCCTGCCACTTTTTGTCGTCGTGTTTGAAGGCGTTTCCAATCACCTCTCCAAATGCTACTTGAACGTGCTTGCTTCCAACCTTCATCACCAAAATAGCATCATGACACCAACTTCCAAGATTTGTCCTGCGTTTTTCCAAACATCTTGACAAATCCAATTGTCGTTTTCGATCTTCATTCTCAACTTCACCTCTAATTCAAAGTAAAATTATCGTTAATATTAATATACATAAAAACCAACAAACTAAAAAATAGCGTACGTTCTCATTGTGACTATGCTGTTTACGTCAAGAAAAAGTTCCTCCCAAAGATGATTTATAATGCGGCTTCTGTACATATACTCCGATGTATTCGGATCACACAAAGGGTTGAACGGTGTCTGAAAACACAATATGCTATCAATTACAAGGATTAGTTATAAAGGTTTGAATGGTGTCTGAAAACTATCAATTACAAGTTGGTTGATAAAATATCTTACAAGGCATTATAGACTAATTGTACCCATCGAAGAGGGTAGTCTCTTTCAAAGCGATACTCGTGATCTTCTTCAAATGGGCTTTTATTACAAATATTGCCCTCGATTATATTTAAGTCAATATAAACCCCGGTGGTGGCATCTTTTATAACCTTCGTATACCTCTCTAGAAGTAGTTTTATGTTCGCATCAATCTCAGGAAGTGACTCCGTGATCTTTGTTTCAATCTAAAATATATTCATGTTAAATAGAAGTAACCTAACCACAAATTAGCAAAAAATAAAGACCTTGCTCCAGTTTGATTCCATTGTAATCCATTCTTCATTGGTAAACAATTTCCTATGTGGATGATAAATGTTATGCTCCGCTAAGAATAAAATTTGATATCTTCCAATTCCAGTACCACTTAGAGTAGTCAATTTAATAACATCTGGAAACATAAGGGTTTATTAAAACACAGTCAACATGAATATAAAAAGGAAGATTCTGACAACCTGATGATGGTTCCTCCATATCCTGCTCAAGATCTGTATCGTCGTCAAGTAAAGTGGTTGGAGTAGTGGGAGTATCGAGATCATAGTCAAGTGGAGTGGGAGTGGGAGTATCATTGCCCAGATTTACTCTTTTGTCCTGATTCTCGAGAGTCTGTTCTGCGTTCCTTTTGAGAGAAGCAATTTCCTTTTCGACCCCAGAAGCAATTCTCTGTTCGAGCCCAGAAGCAATTTCTTTATGGATATTCACTACTACTGTAGTCTGTTCCTGCAAATGTCGCTCCTGCATCATAAAATAAAGATTAGCAAATTTAAAAAAAGTGATAAAGAAATACTAAAAAACCAACCTTTAACTTCGTAATCTCTTCAACACTCTTAGCCCGAACTCCTAAAAGGCTTAAATATTGCTTATTATTTTTCTTCCAAGTCTACAAATTGCAGTATCAAAATCTTTAATTTTCGTTCATTAACGTTAAGTTGTGTGGTTTATGAGTTACAATAAATGCTTGTAGCGAACCAACAGTTCAACACCCGGACGACCAACAGTCCCGTAATGTGCAACAAGCTAAAACTTTCTTGAACCATAGCGAACCAACAGTTCAACACCCGGACGACCAACAGTCCCGTAAATGTGCTAGCAGTTCAAGTCAAATAAGATTAATACTTTCCATTAGGTTGGCAAACATACTATCTGCCGTCACTTTGGCTGCCTCTGAGTAGTCGGGAGCATCGCGTATATCCTGTATCGCCTTTTTCATGAAATCCAAAGTTTTTGCCTTATTTAAATTTTTGGGCTCAAGCCATTTAGCCAAACCATCAAGAGACCATTGTTCGTGAGGCAAGCTGTTAAAAAATTCTGCCATATCGATATTAGAATTTCTCAGGAAAAGAGTCGATTGTAATGGGCGCGTTAAAATTTATATTTTATAGCCGTGTCACAAGAGAAGTAAACAACACATGCAACACGCGGAGCGAAAAGTTTGATACACCAAATTTGCCACCCCCCAAAATTTTTTTTGTGTCATGAGAATTTACGTCATAATATAACCTGAAATTTTAGGAGAATTTTTTTGAAGACTTTTTCTTTATTCTGTGCAAGTTTTAAGCGCGTCCCGCTGGTATGGCATCGTTGGAACGGAC